AGGAAAGCCACACCAGCAAAGGAAGAGGAAATACGTGAATGACATCTTCAATGAACTGGGCCCACACTATGTCAGGCGTGCTTACCGGATGGAACCATCGTCATTCTGGCGGCTCGTTCGAATGTTGAAGCCTTACATGGAATCAAAACCAAGCCCTTTTAAGCCCTGGAAGAATGGAGCAAAGAATGGGTTGATCCCTCTGCCAAGCAGGCCACAGCGATTGTCCTTCCTTCCTTCAAACAACTGTGGATCTGCTACGGAGAGCAGAGCGACGGCAGCTTTGGCAAAATTCTGGAAATCCTCGAGAGCATGGTTCCTTACAGCCGAAGCAACCGGTAAGGAAAGAAGCACGATGACAAGCAAGGAAAGGAAAAACATTGTCTAATGTACTGCTTTCTAGTTGTGGCTAGTAGGATTCGACATTGATGGCAATGGTGTTACATGATGACAACAATCAACCAGAGTCGGCAATGTTGGTTCTTATCGGATATCATTGGTGTTCCATTGGCATCTGGCGCCCTGGTGGGAGTCGGATTCTCCGATTTCACCACTGACTAGTTGGCGAAGCAATTCGGATTCCCAAATTGGGGCCTCATGGAAATGGCCTCCGAATGACCGATTCACCGATTCCAGAAAAGTTGTTGGGACTGGACCTAATCAAGTCTTCCTGTATTTCGCTGAATGATTCAGAGTGCTTCAGGGCTTTCCAAAACACTGTCAGGCCATCCTCATTCTGAATGGTTAAGTCAGCGGGAGCTGCGATACCTCGGCAGAAAGACAGATAGAAGAAGGATGATCATGTTCGAGATTGCACCCATCTTTCAAGCTAGCCCTGGCGACAACACCCGACTACGTCGTGTGTTGCCGCCCGGTATCATTCATTCCCTCATTGCAACCTTCTTTATTAAGCTAGCCCTGGCGACAACACCCGACTACGTCGTGTGTTGTCGCCCGCTACTCTATAATTTACCAGCTGCCATTCCCTTATTGTAACTCTAACCTTTACAGCTCCTGCTGGCTTATTGTGCTGTTGTGCTGATTGCACTAACCTTAAATATTAATGATTTATTCCTACCCCTAACTTGTATTGAACCATCAATGTTCAGTTTTGTTGGCTTATGACTATCTCTATCCTTATACTTTGGCTTCACCGGAATAGGAAATAGGAAATAGGAAATAGAAAATAGGAAATAGGAAATAGGAAATAGCATTAAAGGGGTTGAGAACTCAGGCAGTTTACCTGCCGAGGTAATGATGCACTTGTAAGGTTGGAAGCTGCATCCCTGTTTTGTCCAGACTCTGATCTTTTGAGCAAGCTTGTAATTGAAGTCGATCTTGAGTAGAGTGGCTGTCAATCCAAGCATTTTCAGTTCTTGATATGCCTTGCGGTGGTTGAAGTAATTCATCACCAGATTGTCGATTCGATACTTGGAGAGGACTCTGCCATTATATCCCATTTTGTCAGAGAATTCAGAGAATGGCACAAGGTTTGATTCGGTTTCCGCCGTTTCGTTATCTCCAGTCTCTGCTGCTTCATCTCCAAGATCATCAGGATTATCCCTTCGCCATTGTCTCAGGTTCTCCACTTCCATGTTGTAATTGGCAAGTGCGGCGTCAACCTCAGCTTGCGATCCTTCACAGCATCTCGCAATTTGTTGTAATGTGACCTGACAATTCCCTGCCATTTTCTCATGGGACGGAGGGTGTCCTTGTACTGCCTTGGATCAGCAGCGAGCAGTTCAAAGCAGGTGTTGATCCCATTATCCAACAATTTGCGAATCTTGGTGGACCCAAGTGACCGGAGGAAGTTCTTCTCCCCATGATGGTTGTGGTTGTCCTTGGAGGCAAGCATTGATTCGAATGACCAATCACTAGCTGCGCGATTCTGTGCTGATTCCACCCTTGACCGAGAAGAACGAACTTCAGCAACTGCAGCATTCTTTCTGTTAATCAGTGATTGGTGGTGTGGATTGGTACTCTCAGGAGCTGGAAGCAATTCGCGAATGCTCCTCTTCTTCTTCTTTGGGCGAATTTTGTCCAATCCAATGGCAGTGAGGTACAGTTGGTGATCTTCATAGTACGCGGTATGAGCCATTCTCTCCAGTTTGCGGGCAATAGTAGCAGTGGCTTCTTTGTGGGAACTCTCAATAATCAGTGCATGCAATTGATCGTCCACAGCAAATCCATGACCAAGGTAGAAAGTAAAGAAGCCATAATAAAGCGATGAATCCAGCTGCATGGACTCTTTGTTATACCCAGCGAAACGTCTGCCACACCTAGTGCAAAGATAGAGGACGGTGTCGAGATAGCTGATTCTTGAAACACCGTACAATACCTTGGGGCTGTTAACCCAGCGACTTTTTTGAAGATCCACCCCTTGACGCCGCTTGCAGTGAGGACAGCATGGAACATGGTTGGGTACAAGTATGTGGGGAACCCACACAGCGATAGGCTTTACATAGAAATGCTGGACTGTTGTCTTCTTTCCACGCTGATTCAACAACAAGCTGTCAAATCGTCCTCCTCGCGATGGCTCAATTCGATTCCAAACTCTGGGAGGCTTGAAATATCCATTAGGATCATTGTTGATTGCATCCCTTGTCTTCAACACAAACTGCCATTGTGGCTCTGAGAGTTGCTTTGGCTTGATGCGGCGGCTTGCCATGGTGATCTATGCAGTAGTTGCTTCCACGATTTCGAAATCTATCATTTCGAAACGCATTGGCAGAAAGAAAACTTTCAGAGGATGGGTAGGGTTAGGACGACAGGGGCGAATATTTGGGCTCTTAAGTAGCAATATTTGGGAACGGGGTGGAACGTATACGAATAAACAGTAGAGTTTAACTAAAGAAAGTGACATGAAAAGAACGTGCTAGATATAAAGGATTACATTTCGACATTACACGTGGAATGCGATGGGGATGCAGAGGAAGAAATGGATGTGCCCTAGGACGCTCACCCTCCCCCCTCCTTTTTCCCTCCTGCGCGGGACCAACAAGTGGCAAGACCCATTTTTAAGGCTGTGACTGCATGCATGCACGCACGCACGGAATACTCTTTACATCTACTCTGAGCTCTGAGTACATGATAAATAAATACTAAATAGATACGTTAAGGAGCGAGGGGGGCGAGGCTAGGCAAAGCAGTGGCTGCGGTGGTGGGTGGCTGGTGTGGTGGGCGGCTGGTGTGGTGGGCATACGGGGAGAGCAATGAGGACGCGAGCAGGGCAAAACAAGGGGGGCAGGGAAGGGGTGCATGGAGGAAAACCAGGAAGGACAAGGGAGCAAAATTAGCGGAAGAGTGCAAGTGCACCATCGGCATCCCAGAGAGAACGACGGTAGCTCATTGTGCCAGCAGGGACACGAGAGCCACGCATGCAGAGGTGGCAGGCCCGAAGAATACCGGTAGCTCTGAGTACATGAGTACACGATAAAAGATGTACAGTACATGTGCTATAAGCAATAATGCATGATGTATATGTATATGACTGTGAGGAACAGATGCTCCGGACGTGATCCTCCTTCCGCAAGTTCTATTTAAGATTGGGTTTTTGGCACTTCAAAGTAGCTGATAAATAAAATGGTGTGTTGTATTTTTCATTGAGAAAAAGAAGCATGACTTCGTTTATCAATGGCTCAAGTCGACTGAAAGTGACATTGCGTTGAATTAAAGACGAGTCACAATCTTGTAGCGAGGATACTGATAGGCTTAGTTAAGAAAGTGTACTTGGCACCATACTGTTTCTATCCAGTACCACTACCGCGCGATGAGTGGTTATTAGTGCTTGCAATCTTTCAATCAGAACGGTATTTCTTACCGTACCGGTACGGTACCACCGAGCACTAATGAGAATACTTAAAGGGCGAGTCTATCTATTTACATAGTCCCTTTTAAATTCCTGGTTTTGTCATCCGCAACTGAACGATAAAGCAACGGCGGAGGCTCATTGATCGATTCCATCGATCGAGACAAAGCACTTGATATATAATTACAAGGCACCAACTATAGTATCATGACGACGACGGGTCTGTGGGTCCAATCCGTAGTGGCTCAAGCACAACTGTTGATAGTGGTGTCTATTCTGTTCGGGGTGATCCCCCCCAGCATCGTCTCTCTGATTTTGGTGGATGAGTATGCGTGTGAAAGGACGAATGGAACGACTGATCACGTACTCGAGTTGGACAGAATCCTGTTTCTTCATTTCTTGGAGGAAGATGACGTTAACAGCGTGGAGCTTGTCTTGGAATACCCAACCTTGATTTCTACCATGGAAGAGATCATCCAAGCAACGTACAACAACCAGAGTTTCCACTCGTGCGACTTGCCACATTTTCGAACCATGCGTTCCGTGTCCTTCCTACGGCAGTCGTCACCCAGAGTAATGGCCTTTCAAGTGGAGGCACAATGCCAAAACTGTACCGAAAGGTTCCCGCTTTTTGCCGACATGACGATGGGCACCACTCCGACACATATCCTTACGGGCCTGCAGCCCTTGGCCACAGCAAGATCTGACCCACGCCAGCTGGATGATGGGTCTTCTTCTTCTTGTGTCTGCCCCCAACATGCACAGCCCAGCCCCAGTTTGCTGTCACCACAAGGATTTCTACCAATCCTGAATCAAAACCTCCAAACAAGCACTGGCTTGCTCCTCCTTCATGTCTCCTCGCTGGGAGAGCTACAACCAGTTGATTGCGGGGACGCTGATAGTGTCGAATACTTTACTTCCATGGCCTACAGTACGATGGAAGTGAGGACAAAGGAGATACCCTTGGATTCCGAACTACAGAGGCTGGAAGACGCGTTTCTAACCACCTATAACCAACTGTCCTTTCAGGCGTGTGACCCACACGTAAAGACCATCACCAACGTTTCTCTCTCTATTCAACTGGAAGGAGACGTAATGGAGACCACAGCCAGCAATGCTACGGCGCGAAATACAACCATGGCTACAGCTGTCTTCTCCATTGAGGGACATTGTCAAAACAAATGCACTGTTTCCCAGAGTGGGAGTTTGCCCCTCTTTTCTGATGAGACACAACTCCTATCCACAAGACGTCTGTCGCAAGACAATCTGCCTCCCCGGCAACCAATGGTGGAGCTGGATGTACATCACACGAAGCTTCAGGATGGATGCTTTTGTCCTACCAGCCTCAACCCAACCGATACTGTCACAGAAGGAGACTTTCTAGAAAGCTTCCAGCAGGAAATCACCTTACTACAAGAAGAGGGAGAAATCAAAGCGGTTGAGAGTGTCCTTGACTTGCAAGAGGCACTCCCAGTGGCCTGTCCAGAGGAAACCAAGGAATTCACTTCAGCGGTCTTCTCAGATCTAAAAGTGAATCTTACTGCTTCAACAATCGAGGAAGTACATCAGTTGGAGCTGGTTTTCCAAGAAACCTACAACAGGTATATGTACAAATGCATACATGATCACGGTCGATCCTCAGGAAGCCAGTAACTCTTGGTATTATACTCTCTGAAGCTCACCCTCGTCTAAACTCGCGCTTCTCCTTTGGTCTCTCCAGGTTGACATTTGTTACGTGTGATGGTTATTTCAGAGCTGTTACAAGTGTAGAACTACAGGTTGCTTCGGTTGAGGATGACAGTGATGGTGGAATGAGTTTGAAGGATACCCTGATGGAGCAACATCTTGGCCAACGCAGACTCAGCAACATCACTAATAAAGCATCCAATGCCACTGATCGCTACGGGAATGCCACCCTGGCTGTTGGCAATATAACAGTGTTTCCTGCTGATAGCCGCAATCGCGACATTGTCCCAGTGGTGTTTGCAGTGACTGGAACCTGCCGCGTAAGTGGACTTTTCTACATGCATGCATGGCTGTGGCACCCCAGTTCCTGTGGTCTTACCTTTCATATGTATACTAAACTTGGTGGGAAAGGGTTGCCCTGTGTCAGATAGGGGACGATTCAACCTCTTTGATGATACCATCACAGACAGGAGGAGGGTCTTGGGTCACAGAGAACCAGCCAGTACAGACTACTACCGAATCCTAATGAATCAGATAAAAGAGTTGCATTATCCCCAGCAGGCACACCCCAATGATTGTGTTTGCCCAGCAGGGGATGATCCAGCCATTGGGGAGGGCCCTACTACGGAAGCTTTCGAAACTGTCTTAACTGCCCAGCTTCAAACAGAGCTAGAAGGTGATGGGATCATTGAATCTCCTGCTGAGAATATTGTGGAAGTTCATTCAGTCGTCTGTGATGGAGACATCATGCAGTTCACCTCAGTGGTTTTTGCTGACCTTGGGTCCAACACAAGCCTTATGAGCAATCAAACCATCGAAATGTTTGAGAGAGTGTTTGAGGAAACTTACAATAGCATGTCATTTGAAGCTTGCGATGGCTTCTTTCGTGTGGTGTCAAAGGTTGAACTTGTGGTGACCATGGAGCCACTTGAAAGACGTCTGCAAGAGATGGGTCCAACTAACGGCACTGCCACAGCCAACACTACCAATTTGACTTTCGCTGACACAAGGCCAGATCGAGCCCGTGTTTTGTTTGACGTGACTGGCAGATGCAGGAATTGCCCAGTCACCAACAATGGAAGATTCAACCTCTTTGATGATACAACTAGGCGAAAATTGGTTGAAACAGAGATGCCTAGTCAGACAGAAGAAAATGGCTTCCTGTCGTTGTCTCCAAGCTCTGACAGAAGGGATTTGCAAGAAGCCTTAGATCTTTGCTTATGCCCTCTGGGCAGGGAGCCCGGCGAGGAAACAAGCACAACAATGAATGACTTCTTGGTACTGTACAATGCAAATCTTGTGAACGCCAAAAAACAAGAAGAAAATTTACAGTCCGAAACAGAAGCCGCATTTGGTGAGAGTCCAGAGCCTCCGCAACTTGATGGCATTGTTCCTGTCATTTCTATCGAAGAAGAATTTGTGGTGGACAGAGGCATCAGCTCATTTGAACCAAACCCATTTGAGATAACAGTACTGCCTAACCCTTCCAGTACAAGCAATCCAAACCCCAGTCTCACCCCTGATTCCACGCTAGGATCAATGAATCCCAATCCAAGGGCCACCCCAAATCCAACCGAGAGCTCTACTCCCAATCCAACACCCCTGCCAACTAACCCTGATACTACTCCCAATCCGACACCCCTGCCAACTAACCCTAGCACTACTCCACTACCCACGGCCACACAAAAAACCAATCCAGTGTCACAACCCATGCCTGTTCCATCGCCTCTCCCAACACCACTACCAACACCACTACCAACCCCTCAACCCACCCCGAATCCTACCAGTCGGCCAACAAATACTCCAACCAACCCACCATCTCTGATGCCCACAAATTCACCAACAGTGGTCCCCACTCATAGGCCAACCGGCTCGACATGTAGCCTTCCGTATCAAAATATCACAGCAGGGATGTCCATAACTCTTGTTGGCGATTCTTTTGCCATGACAAATGAGTATCTTGAAGTTGTCATGTTAGGAGCTAGCAAGTCAGCAGCAGCAACAAATCTATGCGCACCACAAGTCTCCAGCGCAACAGTCCAAAGCAGAATCTTGCAAAGGCGCCGACTGCAAGGGACAACAGGAACCGAAGTCATTGTATATTCACTGGACACCCAACAAACCAATGAAGGTGATTTGTATCAACCCTGGTATACCTCTGTTCTTCTTGCAGCTTTCAATGCAATCATTCAAGGATCAGGGGTTGCAGCTATTATTGGAGCTCAAAAACCCACCAACAGTCCCTCGTTGAATCCATCAGTTACCCCATCCAGCGCTCAACCTTCTCTCAGAACACCTCCCACAACTGTAACTCCTACTCTGCCTCTAGGTTCTCCCAGTTTGACCCCTACAACAGCAATTCCCACATCAAATGTTCCTACTAGTACAACGCTGAGTCCTTCGTTCTCTCCGAAAAAGGGAATTCCCACTGTGACTCCCGGGTCTTCCAGTTTGACCCCTACAACAGCAAGTTCCCCCACAAACGGAACACCCACAGTCACTCCTGGTAGGCCATCCCTAGCACCCACAATGCTGAGTCCTTCGTTCTCTCCGAAATCTGGAATGCCCACTGTGACTCCTGGGTCTCCCAGTTTGACCCCTACAACAGCAAGTGCCCCCACAAATGGAACACCCACAGACACTCCTGGTAGGCCATCCCAAGCACCCACAATGGCGAGTCCTTCGTTCTCTCCGATATCTGGAAATCCCACCATGACTCCTGGGTCTCCCAGCTTGACCCCTACAAAAGCAAGTGCCCCAATAAATGGAACACCCATGGTCACAGCTAGTCCCAATGGTAGGCCCACTACAGCAAACCCTACAATAGGTGGTTCAACTGATACTCCCACAGGAACAAAAACAAGTGCACCGACGACCTTACCAACAAATTCACCTACTCCATTGCCAACGCTTCAAGCAACTCCTATTCTCACAAACCAACCAATGCCTCCACCATCTCCTCAGCCCACATATCCACCGTCCCCTCAGCCCACTGATCCACCATCTCCATTGCCGACCAATCCACCATCACCTCAGCCAACAAACCAACCAACTCCACTGCCCACCAATCCACTACCACCAACTGTTCCCATTGATACTCGGCCTGTTTTGTCATACCAAGTTGAGGCTTGGACAAACACAGGATCATCTACATATGGTCATATCTCTACCTGGGATGTTTCCAAAATTGCTGACTTCAGTCGTCTGTTTCAAGGCAAGGGCACCTTCAATGATGACATTTCTGCCTGGGACACCAGCAGGGCTACTGATATGTCCTCTCTGTTTTGGGGTAGTGGCTTCAATCAAGACATTTCGAACTGGGCAACTGGAAGGGTAACAACAATGGGTCGAATGTTTGTTGACACACCATTCAACCAGTATATCGGAAGTTGGGATGTGTCAAATGTCAGAGACATGAATAATCTCTTCTTTGGTGCTGAAAGCTTCAACCAAGCCATTGGAGAGTGGAATGTCGGCAAGGTCACTAATATGTCCCGGTAAGAGAATCAACATTGGCCCTCTACTCCAGCTGGTTATCTACCTAACTTGTAATTCTTTCCTTTTGTTTTTCTGTTGTTTTGTCCAGAATGTTTTCATTTGCACTTATCTTCAACCAGAACCTCTCAGGATGGGATGTCAGCTCAGTAACTGATTTTAATGCAATGTTTGGCTCGGCAACAGGATTCAATCAAAACGTTGGAGACTGGGACATCTCACGAGCGAGGGACATGCGGAATATGTTTCAGGCTGCACAGGGATTTTCCAAAAATCTCTGTGCTTGGAATGACCATATGGCTCCAGGAGTACTTGTTTCAGACATGTTTGGCCTGTGCCCCAGATGCCCAGAGCAAGGAAACCCGATAAGGGGGGCAAAAGGATGGTCACCATTGTGTCATACCTGTTCATATACACCAACTAATGCTCCTACGAAGGCACCTACTGAAGCACCAACTAAAGGCCCAACAAAGGCTCCTACGGTTACCCCAACAAATCCACCAACAGGGCCACCCACAGGATCACCAACAACTTTGATTCCAACTGTGACAACACAAAGCCCTACCCTAGCCCCAACTACAGTAGTCCCCACAACTATCTCTCCGATTGAGCCACCAACATCTTCGCCAACCAAGCCTCCTACAGTCCCGCCGACTTATACACCAACAGAGCCCCACATAGCAACACCCACAACTCTGACTCCAACTACTACAACAACTATTAGCCCTATCTTCCCCCCAACTACAGCAAGCCCCACAACAAAATCACCAACAAAGGCTCCTACAGTACCAACAACCAATCCACCAACAGAGTCTCCAACAACTCTGAAAGTGACAACAAATAGCCCCTCATTTGCCCCAAATACAGCAAGCCCCACAATGTCACCAACAAGAGCTCAAACACCAACAAATTTGACTCCCATTACTAGCCCTACGTTTGCCCCATTCACGGCGAGTTCCACAATGTCACCGACAAAGGCCACGACTTTACCTCCGACGACTCCACCAACAGAACCACCAACAGACACCCCAACGGCTTTGACTCCCATGGCAACAAGTAACCCTACCGCTGCCCCCACTACAGCAAACCCCACAACATCGCCAACAAAGACTCCCACGGTAGCTCCAACAACTCCTCCCACAAAACCTCCCACAGAACCACCAATAACTTTGACCCCAACTGCTCCTGAGCCAAGCTCCACACCAAGTGTAGGTCCAAGCTCCACTCCTAGTGTCACCCCAACTGCTCCCAAGTCAAGCTCCACGCCAAGCATAGCACCAAGCTCCACTTCTAGTTCCATTCCGACTGCTCCTGAGTCAAGTCCTGCACCAAGTGAAGCTCCGAGTTCTTCACCAAGCTCTACCCCCAGTCCTCCCGAGCCAAGCTCCACACCAAGTGTAGGTCCAAGCTCCGCTCCTAGTGTCACCCCAACTGCTCCCGAGTCAAGCTCCACACCAAGCATTGCACCAAGCTCCACTCCTAGTTCCATTCCGACTGCTCCTGAGTCAAGTCCTGCACCAAGTGAAGCTCCGAGTTCTTCACCAAGCTCCACCCCCAGTCCTCCCGAGCCAAGCTCCACACCAAGTGTAGCGCCAAGCTCCACTCCTAGTATCACCCCAACTGCTCCCGAGTCAAGCTCCACTCCAAGTATAGCACCAAGCTCCACTCCTAGTGAGTCAAGCCCTACTCCAAGCGAAAATCCTAGTCCTTCACCAAGCTCCACCCCCAGTCCCCCGGAGCCAAGCTCCACCCCCAGCGCAGCACCAAGTTTGCCCCCAAGCTTCACGACCAGCGGCCCTAGTTCATTTCCAAGCTCTTCCCCAAGCTCATCTCCGTCAGTGACAAACGGCAAATTGGACGGGTTTTTTCTTGTTGATGCAGACGACAATAATGCAATAACCCAGGGCTTGTCAGATCCTGCATCATTCAATGCAAGCTCCTTGGGCTACAATTACAACATCATTGTAACACAGAAAGGGGGTTCCGGCGGGAGAGCTCTAGCTTGTTGTTTTGGTCCGAGTGTACAATTTTATGCAAATGGTCAGCTGATCCATATAGCTTATTGGAATGGAGAAGCATATACTGTCTGTACAGGTTCCTCTGGTTGCACGTCCTCTGCCGACTTTCAAGGGGAAGGGTATTCCAGCACAGCATTCACCCTTGTGGCAGAGCTGTATGACCAATTTGCCCAGCTTCAGGATACACTTGTACTATCCTTAACAATCCTGGCATGAGAGCTGACTGTGGGCTTTGTTGGTTGCCAACGTATTCCCCGATGGGACTGCCTTGTCAAGAACCAGCATGCCTTGATGACAGTTGAGGAAATGGGAGATCCATGCCCTTGCAGGATCAAAGACCGGAGGGTGATGATGATGATGATGATGATGATGAGTGTGACAAAAACGAACCGACCGCAGCGACGCGAGTCGAGTGACTCAGTCGATCGATGGGATGGATAACAAGCAACAGCTCGAGTCGAGGCGCCTGCAGGAAATCATCGAACTGAACTGCGACGAGTCTTTGCGGTGGTGCGTACTCGAATGATTCAATTCAATCAATCCAACCTGAAAATTTCGATGCGGCATGGTGCACTGACAGCGCTCGGTTCGTGACGGCAAGCAACGAATGTCTACCTCTAATCTGAACCGTGACGCCCAGCAACACAGCGATCGTTCAAGATGACCGTCTTTGCCATGGATCATCAATAATGGTTTTAGAGCGCTCGTTTGTGGCGATGCGATACCATAGTCTAGCTAGATACAGGAGGTACCGGTAGACCGTGCATGCAGTTATATAGCTACAGTATGCATTAGCTGCGAGACTTGGATTCAACGCTGTGACGTCCATTTGCTTTCCATCTGGCTGAACAGTTGGCGCGAGGCCCTTGTGATCATTCTAGCCAACACCACCCGATATGTCTAGCTCGATCGGTTTTGACGCACCAGCTGATAGTACCCCTTGCGTCGTTGTCACGTCAGGCTATCCTCGATGCACGGCTTTTGCTTTTGTGGGGCTGGAAAATTTGCTTCTTGGTTGGACGTACTAGCTAGTACTACGTTCGCAACACGCAGTGCAGGCAGCAGGTGCTGGCATCGAACGGCGGCAGCTTCCGATCTCCACCGTAGTAAGGAGTGAGTGTGGCAGTCCTGGCCTATTTTATGCTAGTAGCTAGAGTAAAAGCAACCCAACTAGTAAAAGCAACCAAACGGTGCCAGCTATCAAGGTGCTGAAGTGACTTGGAGGTTCCAGCCATGAGGAGATTTATTTCAATCGAAGTACCAAAAGGAAGCGCCAAGCAAATTTTAAAATGAGAAGCTGCACCACAGCCAAGTTCCAGTTTGGGCGCGCCCTTTGAAGTGACTTCTGACTTTTGGCTGGAACAACGATGCACGAGAGATAAGAGGAACTCACGTACCGGTACTAGTCTAGTAGCCAGCTAGCTAGTCTACCACCTATAGCCAGACTCTAATGGCCACTATCAGCTAGCTGCTGCCTTGCCTCGCCATGAACGTATTGCACGTTTTGAGCGATATGACTACTGTACCACCACAGAGCCGCAAAGACTTTGGTTCTTTTGGGATGAATGAGAAGGAATGAAGTGGCGTTGACAACCGCCCGAGCAAGGCAATAGATAGCTGCGGTACCGCTGTACTGGATCCTTTGGATTACTTGTACACGTACGTGCATGTACTTGCACCATGGTACGGTACATGTACTAGACTACCCAACTTTGAGGCGACAGTTCTGACTTCTGAGTTTTCAAAACATAGAGCCAGCAAAGCTTACGGAATCTATCTCCTGCGTCCTACTTTACCTTGTCAATGGTGACTCTATACCTTTCCTACGAGTCTTTACTGTACAAATGGATAGTATCAACATAGACCCAACCATCCAACCATACTCCTTCTCCTACTCTATTAACACATCACGTTCATCTGTTTTCTGCCTCCTGACTCTTTAATTGACTCCGTAGACTTTAGTAGCAACGTCTGAAAATGGGACTGTTTTGGTGAACCTTTCAACTCCCCTTCCTTCCCACTCAGTAGTTGCCATAATATTTATTTGAATTGCCCTTGCATCCTTATGATTGAACTTCTCCGCTTTAATAAAGCCTTGCCTTCTCTCTGGACAAAAGTTCTTTTTCTGAACACTGAGAACCCGACCAGAATAGAGGTGTAGCACGTACCTATTTAAAAGGTTGAGAGGCTAGGGGTTCGCTTTCTTATTTCCTTTGTGGATCGATAGGTTCAGCATTCTTATACTTGGAAGCTTTGGGGTCCGAGGTTTTTTGACTCCCTCATAAACCGCGGAGTGTGTTGTTGTGTTTGTGACTATTAATACCCTACGACTGTACTGGCAGCATCCACCAACATCTTATCTATTCTACCGACAGTGGATGCATGATCGATAAGCCGAATACTGAATAGCACATCCCATTCCTGACGGTACACAGCACACAGCAGCACAACATAAACAAGCAACAAGTGAAAGCATACTGTATTACAAGAGCAAAACTAATACTAGCTAGTAAGTGACGATGGACAAGCTGTTGGACTACTCGAAGCATCGAGCGTGTACATCATGTACGAGTACCAGTACTGGAAACTTCTTGGACGAGTCCCAGTCTTCTCGGCACTCTATTACGAGTACTACGCGTTGTAGTAGTGCTACACGTAGAAGTATAGAAGAAGCGTTGTCCACGACGGAACGATTGCTCAGTTTGCCGTGGCAATGTGCGGAAGACAATGACCGCAGTACCAGTACGAAGAGGAAGCACGAGCTGGATGCTAGCACCAGCAGTAGTAAGAGTCTGTCGTGCTCCGACCGTCTTCGTTTCAACTTGAGCTTGAAACAACGGCAAATTCGGGGTGAACAACTACACAAAGAGTCCACCAGGAAAGTTCGTCATGTACACCAACAACAACGTAAGTCTACGAATACTACAAGTACTACAAGCACCACCAGCACAAGTAAGAATCATCCCGTCAAGATCCAATTTGAGCTCAAAAAGCAAAAACCACGAAGCACCAACTCATCCACGATCACCGAAGATTCCACGGTGTGGATGGAAGACCCCGAAGATCGTTTCATGGACGTTTCCAGCAGTGCTCATCGATTGCACAAGTCACTCTTGGCGCAACTGCATGTAGCGGGACGACAGACCAAGAACAACTTTCTTCAAGACATGTCTACTAGTACTAGCAGTAGCCATTCGATTTGCAAGGACCATACAAGACGCAAGGAACCACTCAGTACTAGTAACAACAACATCATGTCCTCCTTGGAAGATTCCTTTGGATCCTTGGACTTGGACTTTGGCGCAGATCTAGAAGTGGAACTAGACGATCATCAAGATATCAGTGATGTGTGGGATACTAGCAATCATGAGCATCATCGTGGTCTTGATCATGATGATCATACCATGCAAGAAGATACCATGCACAGTACCTACTGCATTCACGAAGGGGAAGAACCGGAAGAGGAAGAAGATGAACCACAAGACGAACCAAATCAAGGAGAGTCAGTATCAGAAGACACCATCCAACCAAAGCCAAAGGAAACGAACGAGACTCTACAAGCGCCACCACCCAGCCTGCTGCCGGTAGTAACGGACCGTCTCAACCAGAGTCTACCACAACTTCCAACCACTTGGACACCCCGTCACAAGTCCATTGCCGATATTGCAGGATCTTGGAATCAACGGAATCAGCCAGATCTACTCTCTTCCGCCTCACGATCGTCAACCTCCTCGAGACCGCCCGCCAGGAACCAGTCCCTCTCTCCCGTACCTTCCAAAAGCAAAAAGAACCAGCTACACTACCTCCTACGTCAACAAGCCAACACTAGTAGCACTACTGCTGGACGACAACAACAAACACCAAGATCGCCCAACATGTCCTTCGCCTCCAAATCCAAACTGAACAAACTCAATGCGTCCATGAGTAATCTCCTCAATGAATCCAACAGCTCTTTGCTCGCCGAGTCCTTGCAACGACCATCTAATCATGGAAGTCGAAAAACATCTCGAGCGTCGTTCGCCTCCATTCACAGTACCAACAGTCAAACAACATCAACAAGAAGGAACCCAAACACTACTACCACGGGCAATCTCTTTTTGGACAGTCGGTTGCGACAACGCATGCGCAGCAACGCTCATAAGAAGGATGATAGGATGGGTAGTGGCAGTTACCAAAATGCCCAATGGAGTAGTAGCAGCAGTAGTAGTACAACCGCAGCTTCTACGAGAATCAACAACACGGAAGGAAAGGCATCGGTGTTTACTTCCAACTTGGCCATGCTGGCATCTCTTACTCGGGCCAATCAGAATCGCGACAGCACTGTTATTCCGCCTGCACAACAACAAAACAACACTCCAGCCCACAACGATCGCATCCATCAATCATTGATGATGCAATCCAAACTGAATACTACTACCATGACGGCTTCTCCCCAGACTACGAATAATAGCAACACGAACGAACATCCGCCACCACAGTGGAATGCTCAATGGAGATCTGTAGGGCCACAACAGCAGCAGCAACAACGGACCAAACGAGCCAACAACAATCCCTTTCTCGCCATTATCAACAGTCCCGTGGGTACCCATAACCAAACGACGACTCGTACTGCCACTACACTTCTCTCCATGATGGACGAAACGGAAACTCCCATGCTCTTTAACAAACGAACCAAAGTTGTCGCATCCGACGGCAAAGTCGCTGCGATTTCAAGAAGCAGCAGCATGGCTTCCCTTTCAATGAGCGGAGGTATGGATCATCTCATGATGGAGGGCGACGACGACGACGAGTTGGCAACAACAAAGCTCGTAGCAACGCCACGTGATCGGCAAAGTGAGGAGCAACTCAGCACGACAAGCTCTCATCATCGTCGTCATCGTCACAATCATAAACTGGACCACCACAGCCAAAAGCCACAACGTCAGCGAAGCGGTTTATTGCAAGAGCAACGGACCAATCTTAGCGGCTCTCAACATCATCTCAAACGTACTACCATGGACCGACGACTTGGCTCCTCGGCATCGGCCATCAACCTGGATCAAATGGCGGCCATGATCAGCCGGTCCACATCCGCGGCCAAGCTACGCGGAATGAAGCGGAACGAGGGATCGTCGTCTCGTGCCAATCTGATGAGTGATGCCATCTTTTACGACCCCTCTCACTTTGTGACGGGCTCTCGTATTCGACGATATCAAAGTTCGGGGACGTTGGCCTTTATGCTAGTATAGTACACAAAGGAAATAAATAGATTCATGTACATAGAGTGTATTAATGAACAAGCTTTAGTAGGGAGGGAATGGTCACGGAACCGACGGAGCAGCCCAAACAGGAGAGGCAGAGTCTTAAAAGTAAGAACCTGATTCTGCCAACTCCAAATCTCCAGTGGCCAAGACGTCAAAAACACAGAGATCCCTGTGCTCATCATCCCAGTGGGAACATGCAGCTTTGGCTTGATCTTCAAGAACCGCTGCCTCACCTAGACGACGACGTCCTGTTCGCAATGCTTGTGGTAGGTAGCACTTTTCTGGGAATTGTGGGAATCTATCTGTTTGAAAAAGCTGCCCCTCTGATTTTGTCACCTGCCATTCTTCTCCAAAGGCAATGGGATCCGTGACCACAGTCTTACCATCACGTGCCAGCCAAACACCCCCCTTGTAGGATCCCATCAAGCCGACAGAAGCCCCAAAGGTTGCCTCGGTGGCATTCTCCACCTTGACACTGACCAGCTCCTTTTTCGTGCTGATCTTGATGTGCTCACCACCATCCAAATGAATCATAAAGACGTGTTTCTTTGCATTGCTCCACCACTTTTCAAGTTTGAAGCCTCCAAGATCCAGAGGCAAATCAGCATATTCAACTTCGTTGACGGCATAAGCACCCCATCCAGTGACCTCCAAAATGTCTTGCCCAATACGAATGGCAGCAGATTCAATGTAAGAGAAGGAACCCCGAGCAGCGGTACGAATGACAATGTCCATGCCCTGTCCATTGTTAAAGTCCTCGAGTTTGAGCAGCACTAGATCACAAACACCATGGTAGTCATACCACTCGCCGGCCCAGGTTTTGAAATGAGGATCCCCAACAGATCCACCATCAGTGGTGGGTGCCATTGTGGGGCTTCCTGTTGGGGAGCCAGTGGGAGATCCTGTAGGAGACCCTGTTGGGGAGCCAGTTGGAGATCCTGTAGGAGACCCTGTGAGAGACCCTGTTGGAGAACCTGTTGGGGAACCTGTTGGGGAACCTGTTGGGGAACCTGTTGGGGAACCTGTTGGGGAACCAGTGGGAGACCCTGTTGGAGAACCTGTTGGGGAACCAGTGGGTGCCATTGTGGGAGATCCTGTTGGGGAACCAGTTGGAGATCCTGTCGGAGATCCTGTCGGAGATCCTGTCGGGGAACCAGTTGGAGATCCTGTAGGACGCCCTGTCGGAGATCCTGTTGGGGAACCAGTAGGAGACCCGGTAGGAGAACCTGTTGGAGACCCTGTTGGGGAACCAGTTGGAGACCCGGTAGGAGAACCTGTTGGGGAGCCCGTAGGAGATCCTGTAGGAGGCCCAGTAGGAGAACCTGTTGGGGAGCCAGTGGGAGATCCTGTAGGGGAACCAGTGGGAGAGGACGTTGGGCTTGATGTGGGAGATTCCGTAGGGCTGCCTGTTGGAGCAGGTGTTCGACAGGTAAATGTTTGGCCAGGATTGGGTCCAGTCCCAGGGTTTCCATCCTGACCATCATAGGTCCAAGTAAAGTCTGTATAGTCACAACCTGTTCCTGTCAATCTAATAGAGACCGTCTGGTCTGGAGAGAGATCCCGGAGTCCAGTCGACTGGGGCGTCATACCAGCACAAAACCCAATTGTTGGAACTGCGTCGTTGCCAAATGATACAAACTGAAGAACGCCCAATACATCTGAATGGACACAAACAGATACCCCAACATTATTGAAAGTGTCAAAATTCCAACCAAAAGATTGAGTGTAGATTCCGGACGGTGTCTCTGGACATATGAATGGACTGTTCCTGCCCCAAAAGAGATACCGAGCGCCTCGCATATCGCTGGTGCTATAAATAGTGGAAACAACTTGTCCAAGGTTGGTACCAGACTTGCAAGAGTGCTCCTCATGCTTTGTTCCTGCGTCATTGTGGTTCAACTCGTTTAGCCAAGCTGGTGGATTTGACAGTTGACAGGTAAACCTTTGGCCGGGATTGGGTCCAGTCCCAGGGTTTCCATCCTGACCATCATAGGTCCAAGTAAAGTCTTCATAGGCACAACCTGCTCCTGTCAATCTAATAGAGACTGTCTGATCTGGAGAGAGATCCCGGAGTCCAGTCGACTGAGGTGTCATACCAGCACAGAACCCAATTGTTGGAACTGCGTCGTTGCCAAATGATACAAACTGAAGGACACCCAATACATCTGAATGGACACAAACGGATACCCCAACGTTATTGAAAGTGTCAAAATTCCAACCAAAAGATTGAGTGTAGATTCCGGACGGTGTCTCTGGACATATGAATGGACTGTTCCTGCCCCAAAGGAGATACTGAGCGCCTCGCATATCGCTGGTGCTATAAATAGTGGAAACAACTTGTCCAAGGTTGGTACCAGACTTGCAAGAGTGCTCCTCATGCTTTGTTCCAGCGTCATTGTGGTTCAACTCGTTCAGCCAAGCTGGTGGATTAGACAGCTGAGCCAGAGCAGGGGATAGCAAAGATACCAAAGCAATGCATCGGAGGATGAGAACCATGGTATACCTGTTTGTGTTGTTTGGGAGAGTTGCTGATGATTTTGTTTTGGTCTGTTGTTTGAAACCAAAGTTGTGAGACTGGCCTCTGCAATTGGGCGTGATGGTGATATTTCGCTTGCATGACCCAGAGCAGGAAGCGCTTTCTTTGAAGTCTTGGTTGCAAGGCACATCAATTAACAACTCACATCCAATGCCACATAATATGTCTCGCTGGGACAATAAGATTAAACAAAAATTCGTGAAAAACGAGACGCCCAGTATGCTGATTTAATACCTTCCGGTGGATAGGGCATACTTGATGAGTACTGGTATGAGTAAATTACTATCGGTAGTTGTACTACACCTGGTTGGTCTGCTCGCTGTTGCAACATGGCCTCTTGGCTCTGCCGGCTCTGCCGGCCATCCTCCCATTCCATTCACACATCCTGCTAAGTAATGAAAATCACATGATACTTCAATCACGAGTACTGAGTTGTGAACACCCGTACCCTTGTTTAATTAATTATAATACAGTAATAATAATAAAAGCGAGTAAAATGGGGTCGAACCGTCGAACCCGTAAAAAGCCACCAATTGAACATATGCGATGTGGGAGTGGAGATTTGCATGCAACCTTGTACGGACACCGGCAATTCTAGTACATGTAACGCTACAGTACGGCGAGTGAGACGAGTGACGAGTTTCAGAAGTCAGCTGAAGCGCCCTCGGGACTCTCGTCTCTCGTGCACGGGTCCTGGTCCATGCAGTCGAGTGGAGTGATTGGACTCTGTCTAGCTAGCTATGGAAGTCTAGCTACTAGTAGCTACTATTCTTCTGTCTTCTGTTCTTGGGGTGATTGAATCTTTCGCGACAGGACATTGGAAGTTGGAAGTCCCTTTGACTTCGTACAGTACACCCACGGAAGCCTCTCTTGGGACAAAAACAAACTCGCCTTTCCTTGCCACTGCAATTTTACGGCACAGTTCTCCGCCTCACTCTGTTTTTGTAAAGGCTCTATGAGTGCAGTCGCACTGTATGATTGACTTAATATGAACGAGCAACGAGCAAGGAGGATCCATCAAGGTCAAGCAAGCAAAGGTTCGGATTTGTGGGCATCTGGCTGACAGCTCTCATGCTCACGAGAATCGAATCGAAGCTGTGCGTGTATCATGTATGTGGCGCGACGTCGCGACCGAGCAGTGCGGAGCCCATCGTGGTGAGCGCGCTCGAAACGTTGCACGAAAGAGCTCTCGACTCGACGGCTGAGGGTGCGATCAAGACCTGAGAGTCCCCGAATCGAATGATTCATTCAACCGAGTTCATGCATGGACTGTCTGCCAAGTACACTACGGTATGGGAATTTGGATCTCGGGTTCAGGTTGCGGTATACGGTAGATATTGGTTCCAGGTGGCTGACATGAGGAAAATGAATGGCCAACCCACAAGTGAGGACATGCGACTTTCTGGTGCTGGTCCAAGGAACAAAAGTCCATCTTGGAGTGAGCTCCAAAGCCCTTTGAGTTTGATGACAATCGGGCCGCTGAGTTTGGACTTTCGAAACCTGTCTCAACCCAGCATGCGTGTATTGCTGGATTGAGTCTCTTTCTTGGCGCTAGCGCCAGTGTCGAGTTCTGTCTCCGACGATGTTCAAGTAGATGGCAGCGTTGCCCGGGTAAAACATGACCACACGGGCTGATGGGCATCGATTGCTTGTTTGGTGCATGTGCTTACGTCGTAACCCAATCAATCAATCAACCAAACAAGCCTTCAACATTTATAGTAATCGCTAAGTTGTCTAATTAGTAGTCTCCTCACAAGTCATCTCCAAAGACCAGAACATCGTACACATGGTCTCCTTCCATGTAGAATACGCTGATAACCTTGTCACCAATATATTCTCCTGGGGCTCCATCTGATAGCGCACTCCCTTCATCGTTGAGCAAGGAGAAAGTAGCATAGGATCTTTCTTCGCTACGACTTGCAAGAATGCTCTTTCCAAACGACATTGCTGCCGACCGTCCTTCCGCGCTCAAGCGACGGACCTTGAAATCTCCTGTTTCCGGATCCCTGTTGTCGTCGACATTCTGCGCATCCCCGTCGGGTCCAATCTCAATTTCTCGAACTGCCCCGTCGATTACATCAAGAAGCGAACGCTTCGAGTTACAGGTGCAGACACAGCTTGAACCCATGCTTGTGGAACATACGTACGTCTCCGCTTTGCTGTAGTCGACACTGTCGTGGAGTGGAGGGGGGAGTTGTCAAGCAATGTGAGGTACATTTGCCCTTCCCAGCAATATATATATAGCTAGTTCAGGCTTTTCTGGCAACGTACGAGTACCCCAAATCCTCCAGTCCGGCAATGGTTACACGTGAGAGTGGCAAGACAGTTAACCCGTTTGTGAAAGGTGTCATGAGCTCGCTTCCGAAGCATGCTTCTGCCCAATGACCACAATCTGAACCAGATGAGCCTGTCGATGATTCTAAAGGGATTGCGCCCGTGCAACCGGAGAGAGTTTGGTATTCCTGGTTCGCCTTTGCACCTGAGTACGTGCACGGAGGCGAACTAGAGGACGCAAGTCCTTTCTGAGTCCAAAGAGTTCCAAGCCCGAACTGCAAATGAAAACCGAAGAATGATGAGTGGGGATAGCTTCCACAAGCCTCAATTTTGTTTCAGTGTAGGACCACTTACGACATGCGCCATTTCATGTAACTTTTGGAGTACAGTAGGGACGAAAGAATATTGAATCATGAGGAGGGTGAGAGCGAAACCCTATATAAATATATTGTTGTTGCGAAACGAGACAGATTGTCCAACGCTCGTCTCCGTCGCACTAGCTCCCGCTGACTTACAATGACACCCGAACCGACGTTTCCAACACTAACGTCGGCCGTGTCGAAGAACATTTCTGGGCACATTATTCCAAAATGGTGAGTGTCTTCCTAATACGGTAATAGACGGCACAGGCCGCAAACGGTACGATTTGAACACCCTAAGCAATCAAACAGTTCGACTGACTCACCTCCCGTGTACGGAATCAACGTGTCCGAACGCCATCGTGTTGGTCCGGCGGCTCCTAGCGTACCACCGGTTCCATCGATGCTAAGGTAGACCCCGCAGATGCGAAGATCGTCAATCGAACATGGGAGGCAACCACAAGTATCCGACGCGCAAATGTTGCCAACGTCAGAGACATCCCCGGTAATGATACCTTGCCAGGTCGACTGAGCACTTGTGAACAAGGACGTATCACTGACGCCATTGTACGCCAAGTCGATCTGAAAGTTGGCCAAAGGCTGAAATCCAGCAATCATGTTCTGTACAGTGGTCGGAATGAAGCGGCGAACGAACAGAGTCAGAGAGGAGGCCACCGAATTGGAGGGAGCGGCAAACGGAACAGTCTCGACATCCTCGAGCGCTGAGGTCGTGGCCACAGCCAAGACACTCAAGACGAGAAAACAGATCGTCCTCATGTTCAACTTCATCTCGAACCGAAATTCTAAAAAAAATGAGGATGGTATCAAAGAATGTGACGAAGCACAAGATATTCCAAGCCAGACTCGGTGCCTCTTGTTGTAGTTCCAACGTCCCAACTGCCAATGAATAACGTCTAGGCCACCGCGCCTAATCGCTAAACAGAAAAGTCTAGGATACCGGTTCAATCAGACTCGGAGCATAGTTTCCTACTCACTGGTTCGTGTTTATTAATTAATCAGGAAATGGAAGCAAGGAGGAGGTTGTACAAGGCAGGACATAGTTACCACTTGGTATTCCAATTTTAGAAACAAATTTATTACCTTCATCTTCCGGCACATTTACACATCTACCTTTTGGATAAGATAACTCAATTTTTAGTCCAGAACTGGAAATAGACTATCTTTTTTACCAACAGCCACTCTGAGTCATTATCTTACAATCAGCTCAATCTCAGTATCTTTCATATCTTATACCCACTAGCAGCGATTATCACATGCCCTACCAGTACTACTAACCATGCCCTCAGACAGTGAGGAGCCACCACCAAAGCCCAAGAAGGCAAAGGTGCAAAGCCAAAATTGATCAAACCAAAGATGTTATTGTGGTAGTGGAGGCACCTGAAGATGGGGATGTGGAGTACTTAGATGTAGATGGTGATGTGGAAGATAGTGGGTACCATACTGGCTGCATTCAGTCCCTACATATGAATAGTATTAGTATTAGCTTAGGATTTGAGACATTGGTACTCATAGCTTATCTTATTGGTTTGGGAAATCTACTAGTAACTGTTTGGGTTAGATCTATCTATCTTCACAACATTCTGTAAATCTGAGGCACTCCATACTACCTATCTTAAGTATGAGGGGTGAGTGTACGGAACATTTTCTAAGAGCGATTATTCGCGGAATAAAACATACCCGGCTGGCGTTCAGTCACAGTTGAAAAAGTAAAGCCAACAGAGCTTCGAATGACATGCCAAGAGGCCATGCAAGTCCGACCACTCTCGATGTTGCTGATACAACTGTTCCGGTGGCTCTGGCTACTGCTAAAACGCAGCCCATGAACTACTAGAGGAGCTGAGTAGAGGAGCTGCTCGGAGAATAAGGGTTCGCCGCAGTGCTTGCCATCCCATATCATCAACCATTCAAGTTGCCGCCCATTCATTTCGCTTGGGCAAGGGAAGCTCGTCCTGTTGTTGCATGACACAACATGTACGGTACAAGTAAATATTCTGCTTTCAAAAAGAGCAACCGATCAACAACTGTACATGTAGCTCTTCGCCCTCCCTTTTAAAATCTATAGAAAGCTAGCTATTATAGATAGGAAGGAGGGAAAAGCTTCTACTTCCTTCAGGTTTCCTTTTTATTGCCTGCCAAAACACTGAACAATTGATACTTCGACATTGCTTACGGACCTGAACCTAACGGCTAAAACGGCAGCGCCATGGTCCATATTCCAACTATCATGACGACAGTGACTGCAACCAAGTGTGCAGCTGTACATGTAGAAACAGGAGTAGCAGTAGCAGCAGAATTGCTGAGTAATGTCGGTTGTTCTTCGTCTTCAATGAGCTTGTCTGGTGATTCTTCCGTACCTTGTTTTTGGACAACGGCCGCCGACGTAGAATTGGAAAACGTGACGTTTCCCGCCGTGCTGTTTTGCGAGGCTGTGATGGTCAGTGATCCCAATGTGGTATCACCAAGAGCTATGCCTTCTTCTTCCTCTTCTTCAGGATCTATCCGGCATGTTTTGACAAGATCGAGACTGGAGCATTGGTATTCTCCTGTTTCGTCATACGCCAGACAATCCACATTATCACCGTTGCAAAAAGCAAAGCAATCGCAGTCACTGGTAGCACTAGCCGGATCAATACCGTTGCTGGAAAACAAGCGATCGCATTCTTCTTCCGGCGCAGGAGTAAAAGTGGTAGAGCAAGACCATGCCACATACAGCGGCAACCCAGTCACTTGACCATCCACAACTGGAACCAACAGCAGCAACAAGACATGTAGTAACATCATTGTAGTAAATAGAAGGCTAATCCGATGCAGAGGGGAGATTAGATTACAGGTGCCGAGAACAGAGCATCATTGTGGGTTCAGTTCTTCCATTCCGTTCTCCCTAAAGGTGCATGCGGCGCGAATGCGTTGGGTCGCGGAGGATGCCGAGTGCATGCAGTCTTGCCACGCAGTCAATGCAAAAGGTGTACGGTGTACCAGTACCGAATGTGACGTCAAGGGAGATTTGGATCGATTGAATCAAATCAATCGGATTTCGTAACTTGCGGATGCTCTGATTGCCGGTATGGTACCGTACCGTACGGTACGCATGATGGGGACAGGTGTGGGCGGCTTTACATGTAGTGCTTGGTTGGCCTTGACAGCCTTTGGTAGCAACCCTTTTGGACTTGGGCCTTGGTCGAGATTCTCGACCGTCACTGTCGCTGCTTCGCCTTACGTGTCATATTTGGGTGGTCTACCTGGTAACACGTGTCATCCAAGCCCGCCCATCGGGATGTAGCAATGCAGCCCTTATTGATGCTTGGAAGTGTACCTTGGTGCTGGATCCAACAATAACATTGTGGCGACTGAATCGAATCGATTACTAGTACGTAGTTGCCAACTACATCTCGTGATCTCGATCCATGTTCTGGTCTCTGGTCTGACCTGTCCTCCAAAGGTAGTAAGAAGCAAGTCATGAAATTCCCTTCAATGCTGTAGCCGGGAGCTAGACTTTCCACGGCTTCAGGTACCTGTACCAGACTACTGACTCAACTCATCATTAGCCTCCAGGCAGGTACCGAACTGTACAATACCGGTAGCCCATCGGCAGCCGTGGGCAGGGCACAGAGCGAGGTGGTGAGCCATTCTTGGTTCCGACTTCTTCTATTACCTGGTATTGGTAAAATTTAATCTCCTCTGTTCTTTCCATCGTCAGAGAACATGGACTGAGCCAATTTTTGTTTTGTTTTTGTTGGGAGCCATCCCACAGCTTGCTTAATCTTGTAGACTATCTGACTTTTGCCAGGCTCGGCGAGACTGAGGACTCTGTCTCGTCACTCGTCATTGGCCTCCGGGCGAGCTCCTCTGGGTACGGTACCGGTTATCATACACAGAGATCTTCACATCTTCAGCATTCTTAGTTCGGACTTCTCCCACTTGTAAATTCTCTGTCCGGTACGGGCACTGAAATTTGTACATGTACTAGTGTAAGAGCATCTTCTACCGTACCATCAGATTTGGTTTAGATTGGGTCATTTGAACACAATCTAAACCAAATTTGATCATATCTTGTTTCTATCATTGCTGTTTAGATTCCGTTTGGATCAAATTCAAACGAAAACGATATTTTTGTTTAGATCAAGCCAATCAAAACGAACAATTGCTTTCGTTTTGATTTTGTCATGACCCCATTAACCAGTGAAGATTTAAGAAAAATCGTCCTGAGAACATGTACCGAATGAGTCCAGTGAGTCAATCAAAACAAAAAATAGACAAAATGACTTGGGAAACTGATAGAGACTGCTTTTTCAGTGCCCTGTAAATATCAAAACGGAAAATGTTCATAGATATCTAAACGAGCGGTAGAAAATGCTCTAAGTGTCATAATATTTACTTCTAAAGTATTATAGAAGGGGGTTTAGTCGTTTTCGGCTTCAGCCAGCCCTGAGCTGGCTGGTTCAGGAGAAGTGATGTTCTAGCTATAGTAGCTACAGGTACTTGAGTAGTGCTGCAGTTCTAGTTGTGGAAAGGCTGGGCTCGTGCCAGATGGACTCCTCTTTTTTCCATTGCGGTACCAGTACCTTGGGGCTTGCGGTTCCATGGCGACTGAGCTACAGGTACTGTATCGGAGTTAATGCACACTGATGAGTAGTCTAGATGTCTAGATCGAGCGATCGAGCTGTCGCAATTGCATGCGGCCTCCGGAAGGTATTATGGCTTTACCATTCATTCCATGGTTGGAGGTTAATACTTTATTGGAAGAGGAGAGTGAGCCTCTTCGCAGTTGCCAAAGAGCCAGCAATGTACAAAAAAGTAGTACTATGCTGCTCCTGGTTACACTCCGCTCTCTTCTCGATTCTCGATCCATCTATTCCACTCCATTCAGTCAATCAGTCCCTTCTAAACTACAATACTACAGTACCCGTTTCATTAATTTTCCGCTCGAAAAAGACAGATAGAAGGATGGAGACTCATCATCAGGCAAACAACAAGGACGTCGTTGTGGCCTCGAGCCAAGCCGAGGAACGTCAGGAAGAGCTGTATACTGGTACTAGTGCTGATGGTAGCGGTACCAACAATGACGCGGCCGATCTCGGCGACTGCAGCAACCATGCTCCGCACTACCATGGCGAAGCAAAGGCAGATGCAAAGGCGGAGAAAGACTGCCACTCCTCCTGTCAACAGGAAGAGAAGGAAGAGGTCGACGTACCGGTAAGCAAGGGCTCCATTATTTCGGATACGAATAGCAAGAGCGAAACTCAGGCTTCTTCCTTGGAAGGGGAGGTTAAGGCTTCCGCCAGTAAGAAGCAAGCAACCAACGAAGGGTTGTCCACTTCGGATGATGGTGACATCAATAGTAGCAATCGGAATTCACACTTGGTTCAAGCCTGGGCAAACAGCAGTCAAAATGCGCTGTCCCATGGCGTCATACTCGAGTCCATCCAACCACTTCCTCCTCGTCGCCAGCGTCCCGTTTCGCAAGCATCCCAACCCGGTGCATATGCCGTCCAATCGCCATTTATGAATGACCCTGGCAGCAGTAACAACAGCACAATGGTTGCACCCAGGCTGCCCTCGTCCGAACAGCAACAGCAGCAACCAGACTACATCCATTTGTCACACGCAGAACCCGTAGATCCTAATGTTGAGCTACCAATGGCACAGGAGTATGACCAAGAAGGACAACATTATCGAGCCAGAAGACAAACGGAAAGGACCAACTGGCTGGTTGGCAAACTCATTGGTTTTGGCCTGGCTCTTCTGGTAGTCATACTCATTCCCGTAGTCCTTCTCCACAACAAAGATGCAACGACAACGACCACGACTACAGTGTCTCCAACACAGGTGCAACCACCACCAACTCCAATCTCTTTAGAAGGTCAAATACTCAGTTTCCTTCCAAACAACACCGTGACAAAGATACTTTCACTTGGCAATCACACGGCCCAAGCCAAGGCCTTTCAATGGTTGCTCGATGATCCGTTCTTGGACACTTACTTGTCACAAGGAGGATGGAGAATCCAGCAACGCTTTGCATTGGCAACTCTCTACTATGCCCTTGATGGCCCCCATTGGCTGCGCAATGATCATTGGCTCAGCTATGGGAATAGTAGTGGCCATGATAATAATGAATGCCACTGGTTCTCCCAACAAATATCCAACTTATGGCCCCCCAAGACTGCGGACGGATACCCCTGTCTGGATCAGAATCTTACTGATCACAACGGAACAGCCCAAGAACCACCTGGAGCTTTCACCCGGCTTTGGTTACACGAGAACGACCTTCAAGGGTCAGACGAGGATCATCGGGAAGGCATCCCGAATGAGCTCTACTTGCTGACATCCTTGACCAGTCTATCACTCTATGCCAATTCAAGACTGGAAACAACAATATCTTCCCAAGTTGGACAGCTCACAAAGCTGGAACTCTTGTACATGGCCAGCATGGATGGTCTCACTGGAACTGTTCCGACAGAAGTTGGACTATTGACAGGATTGGTGGAGCTTCATTTCCAATATAGCGGTCTGACAGGAAGTCTCCCCTCAGAGCTGGGGCTTCTATCCAACCTCCAACAAATGTACTTGGATACCAATCAATTCTCTGGTCCGATTCCATCCGAGTTTGGCAATTTGAGTCAGTTGTTGTTTATGTACTTGTTCAACAATAAGTTGACGGGACAACTGCCATACCAGTTGGGATCCCTTCCTCTTGTGGAGCATCTGTCCTTGGATGGGAATGCCTTCTCTGGAACTATTCCATCCCAGTTTGGTCAACTCTCCAGCCTGACCGCACTGAATGCTAGAAACAATGCCATCCATTCACAGCTACCAACCGAACTTGGATTGCTATCAACCTCCCTGGAATTTTTACATCTGAATGACAACCTGCTTTTCGGTACCATCCCATCTCAGCTAGGGCAACTCGCCCACTTGCACCAGCTGGTTCTTCACAACAATGCCATAACTGGGACTGTGGCCACAGAAATGGGCCTCCTCCACAACATGACAAACTTTGTCATTAGTAAAAACTTTATCCAAGGCTCAGTTACCTCTCAGTTGGGGCAACTTTCAAACTTGAGGGTGTTGGGTTGTTGGTCAAACAGACTCACTGGTAGCTTGCCATCAGAGCTTGGATTGTTGAGCCAACTGATTGCTATGCATTTCGATATGAACAAACTTTCTGGATCAGTGCCATCCCATTTTGGATCACTTCAGAGCCTTCTGTTCCTCCATTTGCAGGACAACAGCCTTTCTGGTAGCATTCCTTGGGAGGTTTCCCGGATGAGCTCTCTGATCGAGCTATATCTGAATCAAAATGAGCTCACCTCAAGCATCCCGTCACAGCTGGGACGATTGTCCAACCTGACAGGCTTTAGCCTTCACAGCAATTCTCTTTCAGGGGGCATACCAACTGAATTTGGAGCACTATACAGCTTGACAGGTTTTGGCATCTTCGGGAATAACATTTCCGGACGAATCCCAAGTGAGTTTGGAGAACTCTCCAACTTGGAGGCTCTGTATCTGGGTGAGAACCAATTGTCAGGCAGCATTCCTCCAACCCTGGGCAGTCTGCGTCATTTGGACAGCTTGTATTTCAGCCACAATAGCTTGACTGGAACATTGCCAAGCGAGTTGGCTCTTTTGACAAGCCTGGCAGTTCTGCTGATAAACAATATGAATCTGTCCGGGACAATTCCTACAGAACTCGGTGCCCTGGGAAACACTTTATTGCTATTTGACATTACTGGTAATGACAGTTTGTCTGGGGTTGTCCCACACAAGCTTTGCTCGATTGGAGCCAATCAATCTTGTCGTTTCAACTCCTGCATGCTGTCATTTGAGTGCACCGATAAGCTTTGTGGGTGTCACTGTCCATGCGAGTAGAGTGTTGCAATCTTGGAGTGAACCCAGACTAGACCAATGCAGTTTCATTTGGTTTTATATCATGATTTTACCGGTGTTCAGCTTGTATGTTCATGGCTTCCCAGAAACCAATTTCATCGTGCAGTGGCTGCATGGCTACCTCTGCACTGTACAGCCAGGATCCATGCAGCCTTCCGTTTCTGAGTGTTCCTTTGAAGCCGTGCCTCGTCCTTACAGCTGGCTCGCTACTCTTTTCTCAACTATTCGGGCAACTGCTCAACATAATGGATTGGTTTGAATCGAATCGAATCGTTCCATCCTGCTCGAAATGGGTAAGGCGGAGCGACATGCCAGCACAGCTCCAAAAGGTAAAGCAAGCTTCAGAGTTATTTTGTCCGAAGTTGCTTTGTCCTCCGATTTTCTTCGCACACGTCGCTCTTTCCCTTTGGCGGGATTGTACAATCATAACATAGAAACACAACGATCCAGCCATGTCCCAGGTCGTGATAAAAGAGATGGCGAAAGCCACCAACCAGAGACGTACGTGGGCTCGAATCGGCACGTGTAGTTCCGGATCCGGAACAGTGCTGGCCGTTCTGCAGTCATCTATTCTCGTTGCTTCTCAACACGGTCAGGAAACCTGCCCAATTTTGAATTTGACAGTTTTGCATGTATGAAATTCCACAATTGGCTGCACAAGTGTGAAATTGAAAGCTACTTTCATAACAAATGTGAAACACTTCACATGTGAAACCGTTCAGTTTTGTTTTGTTTGTTTTTGGGGGCACCTCTGTGAAACTAAAACTAAAGGTGACATTCAATTGTACGATGTACCAGATACAGCTCGTGAAACCAGCGGCTTTCCGGAAGTGCGGCTACTGGCCAGGTTTATCCACCAAGGATACTGGTCAGGGTACCTTTACTGGTTGTCTACCACTTCCGTTTCCGAATCTGAATGCGATAAGCTATGCGATTGTTGCCGCATCCTTTCTCCAAGCAAGATCCCAGGACCCAGAGAAGTCCCTACTCCCTACTCAATTATTTGGAGGCAGACATACAAGACATCTTTGCTTCAGAAAATTTTTACTTACCGAGGTAAGTATCATCTATGTAGCTCAGTTGCTCCTTGCTACTCAGTATGATTCAAAGACACGCACGTGCTTGGATCAAGGCAGTTTTGGCTGCCAGTGAAAAATTCAGTGCCGGCAAAGAACCCAGTACACGGAGCAGCCACTTTGTTTCTTTGCTCGAATGCTGCCAACTTTACATTCCTTTCTCTGTAAAGTAAAGAAAACTAGCTAGGACCAGCTACCTGCGATGCAACTTCCTTTGCATTGTCAGCAACAACGTTTGTAAGCGGTTGGACGGTTGGATTTTGCACATATCTGCCGCTTTGATGGCACTTGGCTGCTTGGTTGGTATTTACTGTTTACTGATTACTGACTGGAGGGGCCAAACAGTAGCAGTAATGGCAGTAATGCAGTAATTCCTCAGTAGCAGTAATCAGGTACAGTAATTTAAAGCCATTTGAAGGCAGTAAATCACAGTAATTGCAGTAAAATAGGGTGATTACTGTCCTTTTACTGTCATTTACTGTCAATTACTATTGAATTGGCAGATTTATTACTGCCAGGAATTACTGACTGCAGTAACTACTGGCCAATAAAGGCAGGAAAAGTACAGTAAGTAACCAGTAACCAGGAATTACTGGAGTAATTACCCACCAAGCTTGGCTGTACATACCGGTATCCTTCCAGTGATACAGCAAGCAGAAGAGACGTCTGCGACACGCTACGAGGCTCCAAGGTCCAAAAAAGTAAAAAAGCCACCAAGAAGCCACAGGATCCGGTCCACAGTCATTGTTCTCAAGGAGGGGTAATGTCCGGGAGCATTCCGTGTGCTCACTATGTACTAGTATACTCGAGTAATGGTTTTAATTAAAGTTACTTACTTGTGCAACTTGTCTTCATCGTTCATCGATCGAGCTCAATCGAAACACCAAATTCACCAAGCACCAAGCTTGGTTGGTATTTACTGTTTATTCCTTACTGCCATGAGGTCAGTAAAAGGAGCAGTAATGGCAGTAATGCAGTAATTCCTCAGTAGCAGTAATTATGCACAGTAATTTAAAGCCAATTGAAGGCAGTAAACTACAGTAATTGCAGTAATAAAGGCTAATTACTGTGCTTTTACTGTCATTTACTGGATATTACTGTTGCAAAGGCAGATTACTTACTGCATGGGATTACTTACTGCAGTAATTAGGTGGCCAACAATGGCAGTAATTGGACAGTAAGGAGCCAGTAACCCGGATTTACTGCAGTAAATACCAACCAAGGCACCAAGCACCAAGGATCTCTGAGGATCCAGCTTGGAAGCAATCAGTACTGTCGTATTATGTCATAATATTATTATTAGTAGAGTACTTGCAGTACGAGCTAGCTAGTAGTCGGGCGAAGTAGGCCTACTTAGTCAGGAGTCCCCAGTTCCATTTCCTTCGTTGCTGGAATTCGTTTTTCTGACTGACGTGGTGCTGCTATTCTGCTATGCCAGCACGCATGTGTCCACCAAAGATCTTTTAATTAAAATTAGTAAAAGTCAATCTCGGAAGTCTTCGGGTTTTCCGATTTGCACCCTCTTGCTTCTCTCACAATTTCAAGTTTCAACCTCACTTCACAAGCTACTTCACATCATCTCTCTTTACTATCTTTACAAAGCAGACCATGACAAACTCTTCCTTCTCCCCATCCAAAAATACCCGGTCCATTACAAGCAGATCACCCGCCAACATGCTGCTTCCACACTCCCCTCTGACTTTGCAGGTCCCAAGCAATCCAGCACCAGCAAGCCTAGTGAGTGGTGCAGAGGCACGTTCAAGGCTCCAGACAGTTCTTCAAGATGCACTTGATTTGCTAGATGATGAGGACTTGTTTGATGATTTCCAAGACGATGACTCATCTGACTTCTCCATCTCCGGTCCCATCTTCAGTTGCCAAAACAACCAAAGCGGCGACAAAGCGTCAAGAAGGCCATGTCAATGAGTGACTCAGTCGAGTCCACCAAGGCAAGGCAGCAATGTCTCTGGGGCAAAAATGATGGCCATGCTCCCAATGACCATTACCAGAAGAAAAGAAGAAGTGGCTAGCTAGTTACTCCAATTAAAATACCTGACTATAGACCTCCAATTACATGTATTGCACGAACCATGCTAGACTTAAGAAACCGAATCTAGTCTTTCGCGTGCACCAAGGTACCACCCAACTACTCGTGAGTACATGTCCTGGACTAGTTGACGCAAACCAAACCAACCAACACCCGTAGCGCAAGTCTCTCTATTGAAAGGCAACACAGATTATCGTTTACGATGATGGTTTCATGCATTTCAGATAGATGTTGTGTGAATGTGTGGAAGCGTGGAAGCTGCGCTTGATTGGACATAGTCACTCAGAGAATTAATGGGCACGGTATCAATGTCCATTGTGCGGCAGCTGTACCGGTACTATGACGTCACAACCAAAGCCACCTCAAACCAATTTAATTTGGGGGGGGGGAAGTTGCTCGGCTAGGTATTGTGGATGCAATCGCGCTCAGCGTTTGTCCATCCGCATGTTGCTGGCGATGGTAACAGTCTGTTTGCTGCCTTGGTACAACGACCGCAAGAGCAATTGCATAAATGTCTTTCTAGCCTCAAAACCGTTAGCCTTGTTTTTTCGATTCTTGCTTGTTGGCACTACTATATCTAAAGTGTTCGCTCCCGAAGGTCTACACTAGCTGGAGGTATCACAACTCCTGGCCCCGGCACTGGATTTCCAACAAAGTGGTGTCCCTACTAGCAATGCAATCCCTCGCCCCAGCACGCACTCGATGCCTTCACAACCCAGCACTGGATTTCTCACAACCATTGGGCCCAGCACTGGTTTTCCCACATCTGCTGGCCCAGTGTCTACAAACGCTTACATCAGAACTGTAGACACCAAAACTGTTGGTTACAGCACTTCAATGGTCGCAACTGCTAGACCGCACTGGATTTCCACAAAGTGCTAGCTAGCCAAAAACTCTGGTACAGATGCCGCGAGAAACCCACAAGCAGCACAATTGCTTTCACGACATTAAGTTACCTTCTGACAGCCAAAGAAGTGCAGAAGCGGCTCTGCTGGCAACTGCGCTCCAACAATCGAATGACATCGAGTGACTGTCGAACGGTCTCCGTTATGGTACCGAACTTTTTGGATTGCCATGGGTACACTAGTACTTCCGGGGGGTGCCTCAAACCAACTCTGTATGGCTCCCAGTATCTTATCCCACCTTCCTAAGTATATTTTGGGCTGGACCCATTTAGCCTCTTTTTCACTTTAATCACTTTCAACCATGTTTTGCCACCTTCAACCGCCTTCTACCGCCCTTGAACGACCTCAACCGCTCATTATACCGCCTTTTTTACCGCTTTATTACCGCTTTCAACCACGCGACCGCTCTCGACCACTCTCAACCGCTCGCAACCGCCTGGTTATCCAATTGTGGCACCTTTTTCAACATCGTTGATTGCTTTTAGCGATCAAACTAGAGCTTCATTTCCGGTGGTTGGGGATTTAATAAGTTAAATGGAGTTGGTTTGAGGCACCCCCCGGGGGGGATCCAAACCGAACTTCCGCAAGCATTAGAGTCTATTGTTTTGGCTTCCGCACTTTTAAACTTCTTTCCTAAAAGGTACAGTTCGGAGTCAACCAAATAAGTCAGCGGGAGCTGCGATACCTCGGCAGAAAGACAGATAGAAGAAGGACAACCACCCTCCTGCAAGCAACTTGCGGCTGATCTATAATATATAGAGCAAACCCACGATTGGAATACAAAGAGGAGAATCTCGAGGATTGTTAGGTAAACCACTTGCTAATACATCCAAAATAACACAGTACCTTAAGCATTTCATTTAGCCATATTTCTCTAGAATCCCTGGCAATACATTTCTCCGCCACCTTAGAGTATGGCGGGCACAATGTGCTTTGTCGAGTGAGTTTTTAACCCGCTCAAGTTGTAGATCATGATTCGTTGCACTATCTTTCCTCTCTTGCGCAATCTTCTTTCTATCATGCGTATGTTGAAATATGCTGATCTCTACTTGGAAGAAACCCGGATCCTTGCCAAAGAGTTTCTGTACCCTTTCGTCCCAATCATGCTCTAAGATTGTGTGTTCTTTTTCTTTGCCTGTTCTGTTGAGTTCTGCAAGCTGAGCTTTTACAGCCATTCCTCTATCATAAAGAGTTTTCTGGGTCTTTCAACACCACGATTAAGCTTCTGCAGCTTCGGTCATCTTCAGTGAAGCCTTTATCATTGTTTATTTCCCCAAGCTCGAATCAAATCCAGAGCTGGTTTTCGTTGAAATTGTGTAGCTTCAGCATACGAAGAATTCATTCTTTAAGCGGCGGATCCGTTTCCTCCCTCGATCCTTTATTTTGGCAATCTCATATTCTTCTACATGTAGATTGTGTGTTCTCGATGCTTCTGCATTAATTCTCTTTTGACTTTCAACTGAAGTCTGTCTGATATCCTCGGTCTGTGGTTGTGTCCTGCTTTTATCTGTTCTGGATCGCCGATTGGCGTTCAATCTTACTGCGGTAAGCAGGTGTCTCCTGTACCTTGACAGGCATGGCTGTACCACCGGTTGGTGCGAATGGTCCTTGTCTCCGGATGGTGGGTAGGCTGTTACAAGATAGCTGGCTTGTGCTTGTTGAGCTTACTATCGGTTGATGGCTATTGTCGAGATCGATGGCTGTTGGTTCAATGGATCGATGCGGCAAGTGGCAAGTTCCATCAACGGCTGCGGCGCTGCGGCAAGTGGCAAGTTCG